TTATAAACTGTGCGTAATTATTATTTCATGAACATGATTTATGGAGATCTTAATATATTAAAATTGTGTTATGACATTGTCGAAAGTGAAATAGATAATATTTTTTTTGTGAAAAGCTTCATGATTAAATTTTTCATTGTTGTTATTGTATACTAATGTAATTTAAAAATCAACTTTTCTATGTTTAGAAGACTCATTGCAATTTATTTTCTCTGATTATAGTTGATCAATTTAAAGTTGTTTCAACTTTGTTAACATAACTTAGATTATTTAAAAATTACCTCATCCTAGCCTTATCGGATTTCCTTGTTGTACAATATTATACTATTTGCAGTGAGGCTTTCTTAAGGCTTTAAACCTACTATGCGCAAATTTTAAAGTATAAACGAAGAATTCTAATCATCACATGAGCTATAATTTAGCTAAATGATATATTATTGGCCGGCCATTTAAATTATTCAAACAACTATTCTGTCAGGTGCTCACCCCCCCCCCCCCCACCTCTCCCGACGACTCAGCGGTTAAGTGTGAAGGCTAAAAACTGGATTCGATACTCAGAGCTGGCAGAGCACAGATAGCCCATTGTGTAGCTTTGTGCTTAACAAACAAACAAACAGATCATTCACATTCCATTTCTTATGCGCCCTCAAGTAAACCAGGTTGTATAAGTCCTAATAATTTAAAACTGGACACTACGTCAATGGGCAACAGTCATGAAAAATGTGTTATATGCCCAAAACATACTCAGATAACAGTTGTACCGCATTAAGCATGAATCTCAGTGTTTATCAAACACATACTGTCATTCCTAGTGGAATGCAAAAGTTACCAGTTTTAGGAGAACAGGTGTGATTGATATTTTGAAGAACACAAGTGTATCCCAAAAAGAAAAAAAAACGTTGACAAGTCTCAGAAGTATCTGATGATAGATACTTTAATTAAATTAAACAAGTCTTAGTTTATTGACCTTTCTTCCGGTATTCCATCTTTGAGGAATATTCACGTAAGATACACTTGTTTGAATTCCGTACTCGGTTATCCAACGGAATTCTGACTACAATTCTTTGTAAAGAGAACAGTACACTCGACTTGCTTTACTTTGGTGAGCGATGATTTTGTTTCTTTGTGTTGTGGATTTGAAAACTCTAGGAGAGCTTATGTGTTGTATCGTGACCATCAGAAGTTTAAGCAAGAATATGTAAGCGAAGCAATGGAATATAGTGGTGGTGATGGAGGTATGCTATATATATATATATACATATATTTACTGCCGAAGTGGAAGATATCGTCAAATTTGACAGTACAAATATTATGAAGAAGGAACAATATTGCAAAATCCAAGACGTCGGGTAATATCCAATAGACGTCGTTTAATTAACCATGATTTTGAAACTTAGCAAAATAGTGATCCAAAACATACTGCCCTGCTCCATAAGAGATATATGAAGAAAAGGTAAAGAGCTGGAGATTTGAAAATTATAAGAAGGCCATTCCAAAATCCTGACGATAATCAAACTGAAAGTTTGTTGCATCAGTTGAACAAAGAAATCAAGTACTTAACTACAACTTTGGGAGATTGTATATCAAAAAAAAAAAAAAAAATGAAAGGAAAGGAAATACCAGTTAATCATCTCAACAAAAAATGGGAGCATCCATGTCCAAAAGATGTAGTTATACAGGTACGTCTAGAGGAAGACCTACTAAATATTGTCAAGCTACTTTTTTATATCTCAAAATGAATTTTTTAGGTCAAATACTATAATATCAAGTATAAGTATAATATATTTTTGTGGTAACACAATTACAAAGAAACGTCTATGAGATGCAACGATTCATTGAAAACATGCAATATCTGTACGATATACGTTCTTTTGATGTTATAAGTAAAGGGTTGAGTACCTTATATCAAATCATTTTTGAATATACAAGTCACGTTACAAATACAGATGATATCAAATTGAGAGCTCTTGGGAAGGTATTTAACAGCCCTTTCCAACGAAATATATTTATATATCATACAACTGTGTTCAGATCGGGGAATTAGAACTTCAAAGACGATAATATATTTTGTACTTAATGTTATTGGCAAACAAAGTATGTGAATCAAATTGGGGTACCAGGACCACCCAGAAAGAGACCTGCAACATGTCGTACCCCCACTGTGTAAAACAAAGTGCGGCGTTTTGTAACAGGTGAGAATCCACGAACACAAAGTTCAGTGACAAGAGACGTCCACGTGCTACAGGCAACAATAAGCAACATAATTAAGAAGAATATCAATCTGGAAATGAGACCAGCATGATATGGGTTCACCAAGATAAGGCTTCCAGTCGTACTTTCCGTTCAACCTCAAGCAGCTGGCAAATGAAACGGGTATTTATACTATCCCATACCAAGACATATTGGTCTGTGGAAACAGACTTTTGAAATGGGCACTGAGATACTGTCGTCCGCGTATGCTAGGTGGATTATGAAAAGCCAACAGGGAGGAGCGGTGAGCTTTGAACTTGGCAGCCTTACGACGGCGCCTTTTCCAATGGAACTACTCCGCAAGGTTATTGTGAAAACGCAGGTCGTCAGTTAGAGCATGACCGAACGTAGCGACAAGAACTTTAATGATTTGTTAAAATCCCAGATCATTTTATTATAACGTACTCAAACATTTGTGTACTCAAGTTTTAAAATTCAAAGAAGATTGATTAAAATAATAAAGAAAGTATTATATTTTAGAGTTTTCGCTTTTAACACCTTTTTAGCGGAAAATAGAAAGCAATTCAAATATGTATAACAGTTAATAATTCGGAAGAAAGATGTTATTTATTTGTCATTTTCAAAATATTGCGTTATCTGTATACTTGCTTTAAAACTTCAATATTTCAAAAATTACACTTCAGGAATTTTTTATGATTATGTGAAAATATATATTAAACTTATATCCCAGTTAAACATCATAAATTGATATGTATTTAAGCAAAAGAAAGGCTTTAGTTTAAAGTTTTATTATATTAAACATCGAGGAAGAGTACAGGTTTCTGCTGATTAATTCCTTTATCCTCATCAAACTCCAGACAATATAAGACTAGGGCTAGCAAACATAATATATTATTATGTAAGAGCAGAATATGGTATACTTGTTATGTCAAAGGTTGCGAATATCAGCACAAATATCATTTAGATTTTTTATATTTATGTAATGCTGACTGGAGCATAATGCACATAATTACAAATAAATAAAATGACAGTGAACTCCAGATAGTTTTACAAGTTGTTTTATTTGTGAAACGTTTTCATCAGGAGCATACAATTTATGCAAAGAACACAATTACTCAAATTAAGACTGTTGTGTTCTAAGAATTAAACATTAACAAGAGAATATCGTACATTCTATTATTACAGAACCTGTGTCATGTACGTAAACAATGTAATATAAACGTAATTGTTATATAAAAAAAAGAATATCTGCATAGTAAAAATGAAAGCCAAACGGGGAAGTTTAATATAATTATATAAAGTAAATAAGTTATTATTTACAGCGGTATGTCTGCGGACTTACAACGCTAGAAACCGGGTTTCGATACCTGTGGTGGGCAGAGCACATATAGCCCATTGTGTAGCTTTGTGCTTAACTTCAAACGAAACTTACAATAAATTTAGTTAAATTTAAAAAGGGGCCATCCATTATATTTGTTCAGTGTTGGTTTATATTTTTCTATAAGAAGTGATTCCTTAATTTTCCGATCTAAGAAATCTTCGCCACCTGTGAGAATTTTAAACGTTATTGGGCAATCCATCTTTGGTATACCATGATTTAAGATATAGAGGGTTGGAAAGTTAAGATAATTACATTTGATGTACTAGTAAGAAACATGTTCAAACTACAATTTCCAAACTTAATACTTTGAACATGAACTATAAGATTCAGATAATTGTAGCCAAAGTGGGGAAAAAAAGAAGATATTTCAAAAGATTAAAAGCCCCCAATGGCTTAGCGGTAAGTCTGAAGGTTAATAACGCTAAAAACCGGGTTTCGATGCCCGTGGTGGGTACAGCACAGATAGCTCATTGTGTAGGTTTGATTTTAACTACACACAAAATCAAAAGGTTAAAAATCTTCAGTATTGTATTTCAATGTGATTTACTTTGTTGATCTCATTTGTATGTTTTCGCATCCCATTTCTATCAAAATAAGTAGAAGGTGAATAATTTTAAACCAGCAGTCACGACAGTTTATAAGTCAAGTGTTTTGTCTGATGGTCTGCAATTTTTAACGCTGATTGTTTTTTAAAATACACAGCAGTTAGCCCGTATTAATTCTGATAATAGTCCGAGTGTGTGTTGAGCATTAAACAAAATCTCTCTCAACAAACATTCGTTAATATTCACATGTCTCTGGTGGGTCAGCAGTAAGTTTACGGACTTATAACACTAAAATCAGAGGTTTTACTCACCGTGGTAGAGTTGGTTGTTATTAAGCACAAAATTACACAATGAGTTGTCTGTGCTTTGCCCACCATGGGTATCGAAACCGATTTTTAGCGTCGTAAGCCTGTAAACTTACTGCCGAGCCACTAGGGGGCCCAGGTAGACAAAGTGAAGATAGCCCATTATGTAGCATATCAACAAGCATTTAAAAAATTTTCACACAGATTGAAATTGCTAATTTTGATAGTTCTCGTTCAGAGTTACCCATGACTGAACAAGAAACGAGAACTTCCCACCTGAGCCTTCAGAAGTTATTTTTATTTTCATAAAATTCGGTATAGGTAAGTTATAGCGTTTGAATATTCATCATGACGAATCTTAAATGAGGCCCCCCTTCCCCAAAAAGAAAAAAAAAAGAAAATCGAAAGGATGATGATTGATCAAAAAAGTCTAAGACAAAGAGAATGTTTTCCGCTAGTAATGAATAATTTAGTAAATTGAAGCTAGATGGCACTACTAACGATTGGAATACATCCAGTTTAAAGTTAAATAGTCGTGTTAGTGTTACAGTTGATGTCAGCATCATCCATAACGATCAGACAAACCTAGACGTTTGGGAAGCGTGATAACGAAGGGGCTGGATCAGTTTTGTGTTTATAGTAGCTTAGATAAGATATTTTGTTACGACGCAAATTCAGATTGACAGATGACATGCCTCTGCTTTAATAGAATCCTAACTATTGTATTGTACACGAATGAAATTCAGTGATATGATAATGATGACCTGAACTACTAAAGTAGAAGTGCAAGTTTAAGCAGTGGGCCAGTAGGCTATACCATTACAGCATTCGACTGGAACGAGTAGAACGTAAAGCAAAAATCAGTAAGTATATCTTGAACTTTGTGGACCACACAGCAAGCTTATAGCCCACAAGTATGACTCTAGTACTAATAGTAGAGCAGGTTAGCGCAATCGTAACATGCCGCCCCAAATATTTTATTTATTTTGAAGTTTTTTTGGTGTTCATTTTGCTCTAACGTTTGGAAATAGGTTATATGTATAATACTGAGAGTGATAGTAATGGGGCAAAATCAAAAGGTTCCAGTAATTTTTATTGAATAGCAGGTTTTTTTTTAAAGATTACATATTGGTTTAGACTTTAGTAGATAATAATTATTTAAAACTTTAATTGGTTTGGATAAAATTTTGTAATTTTAATGGTGATAATAAAAATTTAAAAAGCAAAAATTCTAAATTACCAAAAGAATAAAGTTATTGCATTAAAGTTAGATTTAGAATCTGAAGTACCTTTTGTTCTTTAAAACATATCTTGACCAAAAAGTATTTTGGTTGTTAGTTTGAATTTATTTCAGAAACAAAAAAATTACACAACTTAATTTTTATAAATCATGCTTATTAATATGTGATTATAGAAATTACATAGTATAATTGCAGTTTGAGTGCAAAATATGTTTGTGCAATTTGTTAAAATTAACCTGAAACAGGTAATTCTGTTACTACTTAAATAAAAGAAATATTGTTTTTGTTGATATTATTTACATCCATTTAATTTAATATTTGAATAACAATTTAAATAGAACCTTGCAGTTGTTGTATACAGAAAATAATATTTGATAATACTTCTAAATTAACAAGTTTATTTTTAATTACAAGTTATACATAAACAGATCTTCATTTTATTGTTAGTAATTGCTTAATAAAGTTTTGAAATAGCAGTGAATTATAGTTTTTATACCATGTACAGTGGCAAGTCTTAAGAAGGGAAGGTTTCTAAGTAATTCTATAGAAGAGAAAGTGATTTCGATGCATTTATATTTTGTGTTTTTTTATATGCATATTTGTATCCATGTCTATATCATTTTATGCATGTGGTTAGATATTGTTTTACGAAAAAAATAGTTATTAGTTGTACTGAAGGCTGCTTTCCAGATTCTAAAGCCCTTGTTGGCCTTTAGTGAGAAAAAGAAGTGGTAACTGTACATGTACACGTGAATTGCTAACACATATTTAGTCAAAAATTATGGACCACTAGATTCTTTATTATTAAAAACCATGGCTTTCTCCAGTTCATTTTACTAACATAAGGGTAAGTAATTAAAAATCAATTCATTTGGTCTAGCACATAGAAATAAAATTATTTATTATTTAGAGAAATCTTTAATACATCTTATTGCAATTAGTATTCTGCTTCACATTCGTTTTTAAAAAATGTATCCACTGAAAGCTCATATTGATTAAGCTCATCTTACACTTCTGTTTTAGCTTTTCATCTGTTTGTACAGCCTCAGTTTCTAATCGTGAGAGGCTGTTTTCTTCTCTGAACAGTGCTATATTGTGATAGTTGTTCTTTCTGGAAGTTGATTTTTTTTCAAGCCATCCAAGTTAACAGATAGTTATGGAGTATGAGAAATATATTGTATGGAGGATTAGTAGTAGTATAGGGTAGAAAGACTTTAACATGAAAAATGTGACAAGATCTAACACTGTATTACTTGTACAGGTTCATAGTATCTCAGACAATATGTCCCAAACTGTTAATATTTAAAAAACTAAAGATAGTAGACTTAGATAAAAAAAACTTAAATTTTTCTGAACAAGAAATAATGCATTTTTGCTTTATTCGGTATGTTACAAACAAGAAATAGCCCATTTGAGTTAAGCCACATGTAAGTTTATAATATACTGTTTTCACTTTCCCATCCATTAACTTGCTAAATGAGTTGAAATATGGGAGCTGGCCAAGTAACACAAAGAATAATTTCCCAAAATGCAAGAATATAACATATTTGTTATTACAACTGTGTGATGAATTTGTTGTTTAACTTGACTGCAGTGGCATAAAGGTTTCAACTTGGTGTAAATGTATTATTTCATATTGATATAATACTTTCATTTAGGTTATAAGTACAGAAAGCATGTTTGGTATTTTATTACACTAACCAGTGACATTAAATTTTTTTGTAATATATCTTTTCTTTTTTTCATCTATTGAGTTTTATTTTATAGACTTAAGTTTACTTATTGGAAAGCAGTACTGCATGCAACTTTCTTTCTTGTGGTTTTATGTTTACATTAGACTGTGTAGAAACTCCATTCTGAAGTAATAGAATTTAGTGTGACATACATTAATACTAAATATAGCATCCTACATCAATATAGAACAGTTTATTGATGTTGTTGAGCATCTGTACCATGAAAGAACAATATATAGCTGTTACATAATATAGGTAAGGAACAAAGTTGTCTTTTTACCATGTATGCTTGGTGCTCACTTTTACTCAATTTTTAAAGACTGTAAGATAAGTGTAATAATTCTGGGAGTATGTTGTTTAATATGTGCCACCAATTTACCCAAGTATCCCAGAAAACTTATAATCAGGGAATAAAAGATGTAGTTGAGAGTTAATTTGAAGGAATATATCTGATATTGTTGCTGCCCCTGTCTTGGATATGTAAATTCTCAAACACATGTAGGGAGGGGTTGGGGGAACAGCTTTTAAAATCCAAAATGTAAACTTCAACATCGTCTTTATGTAATATCTTGTTAGAATGTTCTTGATTAATGATCATTTGTGAGAATAATACATATTTAGTTGATACATTTTTTGGGTTGGATCATTTTGAGGGATAACATATACCTTACATGCATACATAATTAAATGTTGGTGCATCCTTCTAGTTCAAAATAATTGTCTTATTAAAAATATCATAAAGGATAATGACAAAGTTACTAAGTGCAAGAGTTTTTTTTCTCCTTTTTTCAACTCTAGAAGCTGTAGTATAAGCTATACGAAATTTTGTAGCTGTAGGGGGAATTTTGAGAAAAAAAATGTTCATGTAGTTAATGCTTTTTACCAGTCTCAAATTTTAGATGATAATACTTTCCAATTATATACAGCTATATGTGTGGGAAGATTTTGTTTTTCATTAATTGGAGTTGCTGTTCAATTTATGTGTTCATACACTATTAAAAATGTCATTTATTTTTATAACGTATGGTGTTGTTTAATTCTTTAGTCAAATAGGTCTTCACAAATCTCTGTTGATATTTCAAACTCGACAATGACATACCTTCAGCAATCACATGATTTGGGTAATGATATACCTTCAGCAATCATATGATTTGGATAGTAACATATCTCCAGTGATCATATGATTTGGATAATGATATACCTTCTACAATCATATGACTTGGGTAATGATATACATTCAACAATCATATGATTTGGGTAGTGACATATCTCCGCTGATAATATGATTTGGGTAGTGTGACATACCTCCAGTGAACATATGATTTGAGTAGCGTGACAGATCTCCATATGAGTTGGGTAGAAAATGCCAAACTACACGTTGACATACCCCCCAATAATTATATGATTTGGACAGCGACATACTTCCAACAATCACATGATTTGGGTAGTGACATACTTCCAGCAATCACGTGATTTGGGCAGCAACATACCTTGAGTAATAATATGGTTTGGGTAGTGACATACTGGCCCGGCTTGGCCAGGTGGTTAGGGCGCTCGACTCGCAATCTGAGGGTCGTGGGTTCGAATCCCCATCCCACCAAACATGCTCGCCTTTGCAGCCATGGGGGCATTATAATGTGATGGTCAATCCAACTATTCGTTAGTAAAAGAGTAGCACAAAAGTTGGCGGTGGGTGATGATAACTAGCTGCCTTCCCTCTAGTCTTACACTGCTAAATTATGGACGCCAGCGCAGATAGCCCTCGTGTAGCTTTGCGCGAAAATTCAAAACAAGCAAGTGACATACTTCCAGAAATCACATGATTGGTAATGACATACCTCCAGCGATCATATGAGTTGAGTAGAAAATGACAGGACAGTTACTCTCAAAACTAACTGGAACATTACTTCACTGTATTTAAATCGAAGCGTCGCTAGAGTTTATCATCATAGATTATTTGTAATGTTTATTTATATAGCATGGTGTAAGGATAAGTATTAAAAGTACAAGTAATAAAATACGTATGGTTTAGTTATCATCCTGCATATAAGTTTATGAAACCAGTGTAGTTTATTCTCCAACATGAATTCTTCTGTTAAAACGCTGTTATATGCAGTGTTTTGTTTTGTTTAGGGTGGAAAACATCAAGTCAGTATTTACTGTTAAGAATTTTATGTAACGCTTTGATTTAGAGCCACTTTTCAAAATTATAAACACAACTTTCTACAAACCACGCATAAGTTTTGTCAAAAAAACAAAACAAAAAACTGACGTCACTTCCTTAAAGGTTCCACTTTAGGTGTAACTAGCGTCGTTTGTCCAAGTATGATGTCATTAG